GAGAGAAGTAATCTGTAACCTTGACAAGAGCCAGTTGCAGTGCGTGCTGGGGATAAAAACTTGACAAAGATGGGTTCAAGGGAAAATTCACCAGGAAGAATTGGAGACAACTAATAAAAAGCATTCTTTTTCAAGGTGGCTTTTTGGTATGCTAATGGAGAATGATTTATATCCGATTTTCCATAGCTTGGGCCAGGAATTTGTTCTTCTTCTGCCCTCATGTGATCTTGACATGCACCAGCTTTGAGAACCCTTGCTCTAGCCTTGGTGTTTCTAACCAGTCATTCTTCAGCATAGCAAGCGCAAATGATTTGAAAATTAAATGAAAATTCTTTTTTATCACGGCTGACTCTAGTGGCCAGATCTGCAGTTGTCCATGAGTCGCATCAATCCAGTTACAGAACAGGAACTTAAAGGCCAGGGACAAAAGTAAAAGTTCTTTTTGTAACTCCTATTTCCCAGAAAGGATGTCTAATCAGCCAAAAGGAGTTAAAATATTTAAAAACTGTCGACATCTTGAAAATGTCTTCTTAAAATATTATTTAATATCTAGTATCCTTTATTTTAAAGAAAAAAAAATCAAAAGCAAATTAATTTTGAATTACAACTGCCAAACTTTTCTGCTAAATGTAAGCACTGGTTTGCAGGGGTATCTTGGAAGTAGGGTGGAATAAAAATTAAACTGCTGTGTTGATATCCTCTGGAGAAATTTTTAAAAATGTATTTACTAAAATGAACCAATTTCAGGTAGTAGTAATGTTTTTACAAAGTTTACATATTAATGAAGGGACCCAAAGTAGTTTAAATGTCTCTTCACAGTCCATTCTATGAAATTAGGAATGAAGGAACCTTCTAAAGTCATTACAATACAACTTAACCCAACTAAGTCTTAAGACAGTACTAAGTTATTTCAGACCAAGGAAAATTTGTTCTATTTTTAAAGCTTCCAAAAGAAGGCAAATTAAACTTTCCTAAGCAATTTACTTCTTTACTTTCAGAATGATCCTTCTATATCTACCAAAGTATATCCTATATTAATAAGCGTTAAGTAGTCTACCTTTTAAAGCCCATTTTTTTCTTATTTCGTATATTCTCATCTAAATTGTAATTTGCAGGGCTGGCCAAGTGACACATTGGTTAAGAGCTGGCTTGGGACTCCAGTTCTGAGCAGCAGGGCCCCAGTTCGGATCCCACATGAGGGCCAGTGACACTTCTCTCTACAGCTAAGATGCTGAACAACAGCTCAACCTGGAGCTGGGCTGCCGTGAGTCACCGGCAACGGCGTAGGCTGCAGCCCCTGTGGCAGTGGGTTACCATGGGCTACCGTGTGTAGCCAGCAGCCGGTGTGAGCTGCCAAGAGCTGCTGTGAGCAGCCGTCCAGAGGCGGGCGACGGATCTGCCTTACCCGGGAAGAGTGCAATGATAATACCAACATGGGCAAGTGAGGCGACATCCTCCACAACTAGACTGAAGAACAAAAGAACAGCAACTTGTCTGCTCCCCTCTCCCAATTCCCCAATAAAAAATAAATAAATAAATAAATAAATTGTAATTTGCAGTATGTTAATTGTAGCTTGCCAAGGCAGCCCTGAATTCAGTGGCTAGCTTCACTTCTAAATAGTGACTGTACTTTTGTAGTGTCATTTCCTCATCTCTAATGATGGGATTGTAAAGGCCTAAGAGAGAATGATGAAAATATTATGGACCTCAGATATTATAGGTGCCACATTTAGTGATGAAAGTTATTGCCTGGCTTTAACATTGGACTCTAAAGCTCAGGCCTACCCTGTTTATCATATTATCCCCAGCACTTAGCATGGTGTCTGATGTGATTAAATGATAAATAACTATTGACTTGCTGGAAATCAGGGAGGTTCATAAGAGAATAAACATGTGAACTGTGTCTAAGTGAAGAGGCTACTGAATTGGCAGAAGTGGAAGCCATGTGAGATTCGGAGAATAGCATGAGAAAAGACTGCAGGTGAGACAGAAGCCTATGTGGATTGAGGGGAAATAAGACAGAAGCAGTGTCCACCTGTGGAAGGCCTTGAAGCCAAATTAACCGTATCTACATTGAGCCACTCCTAATACTGTCTCAGGGTCTTATCAGAGTAAAACGGGACCTGCCTAAATCTCAAGGCTATTGTGAGGACCAAGTAAGAGAAAAATGTGTGCAAGTGCTTTATAACCTGCTGTGTTAAGTGCTGTCGCATTGGCTCTGACTCCTGGTGACCCCTATGAATGAGTGAGGTCCACAGTGTCCTGGCCTCACAGCCCTGCTCAGCTGCTGTGGCCTCGTGCCTATGGCTTCTTTTACGGAGTCAGTCCATCCCATAGTTGGTCTTCCTCTTTTCCTGCTGCCTTCTATTGTCCCAGCATCATTGTCTTTTCCAAAGAACCCTGCCTTCTCATGATGTGCCTGAAGTAGGACAGCTTCCGCTTTGTCAGTTTTGCCTCCAGTGATGTTTCAGGCTCAGTCTGCTCTAGGACCCACTGGTTCATCTTCCTGGTGCTCCTGAGGATTTGTAGAGATTTCAAATGAATCATTTTTTCTTTCTATCAGCCTTCTTCATTGTCCAGCTTTCATGTCTGTGTCTAGTAATTGGGAGCACGAGGGTGGGGGTGATCTCAGCCTTGGTCTCTAATGACACGTCTTTGCTCTTGGTGACCTTGCCTAGTTCTCCCATTGCTGCCCTTCCAAGTCTCAGCCTTCGCTTGATTTTTTTGCCTGTAGTCTCCATTTGAATTGATGACTGAACCAAAGTAAGCAAAAGAACAATTTTGATATCTTCATTGTCTGTGTTAAAGTTGTGTATTTCTTCTGTAGTCATGATTTTTGTCTTGATGTTCAGATGCAGTTCTGCTTTGTAGAGTACTAGAAAGATGTTAGCCCAAGACTTGAAGTTTTTCTTGGATTTAGCTTACTTATGCAGCCAGTCTCCACCCATGGCAAATTCATTTCTTAACTTTTATTTTCTGAACACTTCATTTATTTCTGCTTTTTTGACTTTGCTCATACTTTCCTTCTTCCCAGGGTAATCTTACTACTCCTTTCCACCTTTCACATCATCCTGCAGGCCCAAACTAAAGTACCATTTACTTGACCAGCTACCCTTTATTATGTTCTTTTCCTTTATTCTCTGAACTGTTCCATGTACTCATTAAAGAAACAAGTTTAATACTTCCTACCTACTGAATACATATAATAATAATTATATTTATTATTATATATGTATAATTTTTATTTATTATTATATATGTATAATTTTAGTTTCATATCCATGGCAAGATAATCAGCTCCCTAAGAGTAGAAATAATATAGTGACTTATTTTATACCTGTGGCCCCATATTGTCTAACTGAAGGTCTTAATAGGAATATTTATTGAGCCTAAAAAATGTTGAGGTTACCTGTATCTTAGGTTTTCCCCATAAAGAGAGAAATTGTAAATCACTGGGAATTGCAGGTATGTAATTACCTCCGTTAGCTTCCATTGCTGGAACATAGGTTAATAATGAACAGTTTAAAACGATACCACAGTGAATTCAAGTGGACATGCAAACCGAGAGACTCTGAGTCTGATTATTATTCTGCATTTGTAGACCTTCAATTCCAGTTGTCCAGGATTTTGAAAAAAGTAAAACTAACCTGGAAAACTGGTGTTCTAGCACATATTCCTTGTTCTCAAAGAATGGATGGGAAGGAAGAGAATAGAGTGTCATAAAAACCAGGAATAGGGCATGTTTCATAAAGATCTCAATGGTTCGCTGTTTAATACGCTACTTAAGAGGTTTGGTAAGATTGTAACAGGGTGGAATGTTTTTGTTCTCTCTCCTCTGACTCTTAACCATAAATTTTCACCTGCATTTCTTCCAGGGCCTTCAGGCAAATAGTTCTAATTGGCTAGAGGAATTCTGCAAAACTAGCCTCCTGAATAGATGGGAAAAGATATGCTAAGCCATGAGGGTTTATCAGCGATTTATAGGAACCTCAGGACTTACTCAGATCAGCAGGGGCCCGGAATATCAAGAACTGGGAGTAAAGAGATGTGGAGATTTCCCTGTTCTTCCTTGGACCCCACTGCTTGCCACGCCTGTTCTCCCCTTGACTAAAGAAGCCTGAACTCTGGGCTCTCTTACGATGGATTTGAGGCACCATTAGTTCTGTTATCTCAGTTGGTGCCTTCCCGACCAATAAACCTTTCCTTACTCCAAGCCCTGACACTTTGGGTTTTGGCCTTTTGAAGCGCCAGGCACCACAGGCCTTGAACCAGTAATAAGGTGATGCCTGGAAAGGGTCCCTTGTATTTGCCATGAGAGTAGGTCTTTGGTGAGCAAGAGCAGTCCCTGAAGTGAAGGCTTAAGTGAGGTGCAGGCTGGTGCATGTGAGTTCCCAGCTCCCAACGCATGGACACATTCAAATTTTCAGACCTTTTGTTTGATGACAACAAGCACTAAACACAAAAAGAAAGTAACTAAAAATCACAGCTGATAAACAATGGACTGCAGGTTAAAAGGTGAAGTTGGCCCAGATGTCTGTCTAGTGTTCGTTTATTTGCTTTAACCACTACATACCTCATCTTAGTTTTTCTTTTTGTTTTCATAGATTTGTATTGATCTGTTCCTCTGTAGTGAAAATAGTTCAGTGTGTCACTATTTTATATTTCATTTTAGAATTCCTTAGCCTAGTTCTCCTCTGTGCATAAGGGTTTCAAGCTTTCTGGAAGGACACTCCCATTGCAGACCTTTGCTGAACTACAGAACCACAAGAGAGAACTAGGCATGCATTGTGAAGAAGATATTATAGCTTTCCATGAAGTCGGTCAGCCCTGGACAGTTGGTGGAATCTGGTGGTAGGGTGTGGAGGATGTCAGCCTCTTTCAGAGCTGTACCATGAAAAAATGGGCTTAATCTCAGAAATATGGTAGAGGTTATCATAAATGTATATTTTTATTTGACTTTTTATTGCAGTCTAATAGTGATATAAAAATGTTTCTTTTAGAATGTGAAACACAGAAAGTATGCAAGGTGGAAGGCAACATATATCCATAATTGTTTAAAGAATGGAGAGACTCCTCAAGCAGGGCCTGTTGGACTTGAAGAAGATAATGGTATGTATTTAAGTAAAATAGTTTAATAGAATCATAATTGTTCAGTATATTATTACTCAAAGTTTTCAGAAGGAACTATGAAATTTTGTTTCCACCATAAGGTCAAAAATCCATGAAAATTTGGTATGAAATCATCAATTTAGGGACTGAAAGATTAAGGCCAAACTCCTGTAACATCTGACTTTGTCAACAGAATAGCTTTGCTATCTCCTACTTCTATTCATGTAATCCAGTTATAGTTATAAAATTATAAACAGGCAATCCATTTATAATTTATACAGTATTTCCAAACCACCGAGAACACTCTTATTTTTTGTATCTAAACTTTTATTTGGGGGAGGGGAGTAGGTATTAACATTCACATGGTTGAAAATCTATAGAGCATATAAAAAATATGAAGTGAATTTCTCATTGTCACCATATCCGTCATCTTCCCAAATACTACTAAAACCCAAATAAGTAATTACTGTTTTTAGTTTTTTTGTGTATCTTTATAGAGATTATTTTTTATGAATTTACAAGTAAATAAGAATATATATCCTCCCTTTTTTTACACAGTTGGTAATGTACATACACACTGTTCTACAGCTGTTTTTTTTGTTGTTGTTTTGATATATATATATAGGAAAATTTCGCTATCACGTAATAAGTGGTTTTATAAAATTAAATTGTGAAAAAATAAGGGTCTCAGTTTTTCATTTGGCCTTCAGTTAATGTGTGATGGAAAAGAAAAGGAAAACTGTTTTTCACGTACTTGTTTTTATTGATTAGACTTATAGGAAATAGATTGAGTGGCACGAGAACAACCACTATTCTCTGAATTAAGAATATTCCAAATGATTCTTGAATTTTGTTATACAAGTTTTAGGCACATGTAAAGATGATCATCAAATGCACGGAATGGTAAACTTTTTCTTAAAGGCTCAGATAGTAAGTATTTTAGGCTTGTAGGTGAGGTGATATGGTCTTTGTTGCAGCTGCTCAACTCTGCTCTTAGAGTGCAAATGAAGCCACAGACAATGTGTAATCAAATGAACATGCCTGTGTTCCAATAAAACTTTATTTGTAAAAAAAAATAGGCAGCCAACCTACTGGTCATAGTTGGCCAGCTCCAGTCTAATTCATCTCCTTAGATCTGTTGTTATAGTGAATTCTATTAAAAGATTGCCTAATATTGAACCAGCTTTACATTGTGTTATAAACCCCACTTGGCCATGATTGTTTTATTATGATATTGATGGATTCAGTTCATTATGTAATATTTTATTTAGGATTTTTGCATTTACATAAGTAAAATTGGTGTACAGTTACTTTTTGATATCAATGTTATACTTGCTTTATAAATATAATCTGAAAGTTTCTATTGGTTTTTTTGTTTGTTTGTTTTGGAACATTTTAAATAGCCTTGGAATTATCTTTTCTTTAAATGCTTCTTAGAATTTTTTGTGAAACCAACTGACCCTGGTACTGGGATGGCTTATTGATACTATTCTATGGAAATTAATCCTGTTAGATTTTTTTTTTAATTTTCTCAATCGGTGTCCAGTGAATGAATGTACACTGGTGAAATGAATGATGTTTTAGTTCTTTTAGGCCATTTTAGTAATTTCTCCATATGCGTGCTCTTCTCACAGTTTTTCAGACCATCGTTGTGTTGTGGTTCTCCTGGTCGTATGCTTAGTGTCTGCACAATGTTCTATAAGTATTCACTGACAAACCGTGAAAGTGTATTTCAGCATTTCCAGATATTTAAGAATGAGTGGGTGGCTAAGAAGCACACAAACTGAAGCTGGAATCTTCAGTCATTTGGGAAAAACAAATTAAGATTGCAGCAAATATTCTACATACCTACTAGAATATAGGGCTAAAATTTAACAAGCTGATAGTACCAAGCACTGACAGGAATGCCAAGTAGCTAGAACTCTCATTCGTGGGAAAAGAAAAGGAAAACAGTTGGTCAGTTTTGCGTCAAGTTAAAAATACACTTAGCATAAACTCTAGCATCCCCACGCCTATGTATTTATTTTCCCAAGAGAAATGCAAACATATGTCACCCAAAGACCTGTACATAAATATTTATAGCAGCTTTATTTGTAATTGCCCAAAACTGAAAATAATCCAGAGGCCATCAATTTGTGAATGGATCAACAAATTGTGGAACAACCTTGTATTGGAATATACTCAGCAGTTAAAGAACTGTTGATATATGAAACAATGTGGGCTGATTTAAAAAGTATTATGCTAAGTGAAAGAAGCCAAACCCAAAAGGCTGCATACTGTATCATTGCATTTTGTGCTAGAAAAGGTAATGGTCGAAGGACAGAAATCAGATCAGTGAGTGTCTCAGGTGAGGAGAAGGGGTTTACTACAAAGGAACATGGAAAAAGGTTTTGGGTTGAAGGGAATATTCCATTTGTGACTGTGGTGATGATGGTTGGTTACTCACTGTATAAGTTTATCAAAACTGTATCCCCAAGAAGTGTACATTTTACTGTATGTAAATTATACCTCAATAAACTTGCCTTTAAAAGACAAAAAAAATGGAAGTGGGGAAGACAGGAAAACCATTATGTTTTATTTACTTATTTAGAGAACTATTTAGAGTTTTATAATGCCACTCAGTGAAAAAAAACACACTGCAGTTTTACATATGGACACTTTATGTAAATTATTTTGCAGTTCATTGTCTAGTGATACAAATGCCCATGCAACCTTTCAGGTTAACTTTTTGCTCTCTGTCCCTGAAGCACAGCTAATGATAATGCCCTTGTCTGACCTTTAAACAATCTTTTTCACATAGAATTCTGCTTATAGTCATCTTATATAATAACACATTGCATTTTGATAGTGCCTTCAATCTTATAAAATCTCATTTTTACATATCTCATACCTTCAAAAACCCCTAAGAGATAGTTTATGCTATTTCTATTTTACAAAGGAATAACTTGATGTTGCACATGGGTTTGAAGCCAAGCTAAGGCCATAGAACCACAAAGAGGGAGAACTAGAACTTGAGCCTTGACCTTCTTACTCTAAGTTTTGTGCTTTTTACACTAACACTACAGCATGAATAATGTAATATATTGTTATTAAGTGTTTAACATGGACTGTTATAAAACATGGTTATGTTTCTGGGTTATTCATCCTGATATTGGAATTGGATTTTTTTTTTAAGTAGATTGCCACAACACTGTTGCTTTTTCATTTAACATTTTAGAATGTTTTACATATTTCATTTCCTACTTTAATACTGACTGTAATTAGGAATGTTTTATGTCAGTCCTGTTTACAAGTGTCCACAAGAAAACATCTGTGATCCTCAGCCAACCAAGCAAGACTTACCATGATCTGGCACCTACCTGCTTTCCCAGTTTTATTTCCTACTCCTGTCTTAGCTTGCTCGGGCTGCCGTAACAAAGCACCATAGACTGGGTAGCTTAAACAACAGGCATTTATTTTCTCACAGTTCTGGAGGCTGGAAAGGCCAAGATCAAGGTTTGGCACAGATCAGTTGCTGGTGAGAACTTGCTTCTTGGCTTTCAGACAGCCACCTTCTCTTCTAGGTTCTCACATGGTGGAGAGACAGAGAGAGAGAGATTTTTTTTTCTTTTTTTCTCTCATAAGGCCACAGCCCTATCAGATTAGGGCTTTACCCTACCCTTATGACATTATTTAACCTTAGTTACCTGCTAAAGATTCTGTCTCCAAGTGCATTCACATTGGGGATTAGGGCTTCATGTGCATTTGGTGGTTGGGGGGGCATGGCAGAGTTCAGTCCATAGAAGCTATTTAAACCCTTTGTTATAACCACGGAAGGAAAGAGCCAGAAAGTACCTTCATCTCTTTCTTTAGTTAAAATCATTCCTCCTTCCTAAAATGATCATCGTTCCTTTCCTATCTGATCCTGACTATTTGATGATCTTTCCTTCATCTGAATTTCTGCAGAGTTAGTGTGTGTGTGTGTGTGTGTGTGTGTGTATGTGTGTGTATGTATGTATGTATGTATATAAAGCCTTGTAAAATATATAGTATTTAATAAAGTATTTACTAGTTCTGTTTTTGTTTTATTTGAAACTATTTTATTAGGCACATACACCTTTATAATTGTTTTGGTGGCGGTTGTTAATTACCTAACCTTTTATCATTATAAAACACCCCATTGTATCTCTGTTAATATTCCTTGACATGAATCTGTTATGTCTGTTATTGAAATTAACACATCAGCTTTTGTGTGTTTGGTATTTATGTAGTGTACCTGTTTTCATCCTTTTAAACATATCTGAGTCTTGACTATTGTATATAGGTGGGTTTTTTCTGTTTCAGTCAACATCAGTCTTCTAGCTAGTGTTTAGTCCATTTACATTTAATATAATTATTGCTATAGCTAGATTTAAGCCTAGTATTTTTGCCATTTGTTTTCTGTTAGTCCCATCTGTTTCTGTTTTCTCTTACAGATTTCTCTAGTCAGTTTTTCTTTTTTAGTTCATTATGACAACATTAGGTATAAAAATACATGTATAAGGTTACTTAGTAAAATGTATATCTCAGAGTAGTAGTTAGATATTTTTATTTGTATGATCAGACAAAAAATTTACTTAAATATTTAACAGGAAACTAATCTATTTCAGAAGTCTGTAGCCCTAGCTTGCATTTATTTTATTTTAATTTACAAAGATTCCCAAAAGTGGCTAATTGTGATTTTAAATATACTACCAAATTTAATTTTCTCAAAGTAGCTTTCAAATTCAGCTAATGATATATAGTATATTTTAAAAGTGCATTTCACAACTTATATTAACAAAGTCTCTTATTATCCCTTTCCACATAGATCGTTGAATGTGAAATTTCATTTCTTTGTTTTGTTCATTAACTTAATAATTTGGACAACAGACACCCAGATAATTATTTCATAGCTAATAAACAATGGCTATTGAGTAAAAGGCATCTGTCAGAAAACCGAGTTCTTATTGGATAGCATAAATATGATGTGTTTTGCCAAAGATGTCCTCAATTTTTCATAAGTTTAAAGAGTATGTTTAGGGCCGGCCGAGTGGCGCATTGGTTAAGAGCTGGCTTGGGATGCCAGAGGGCCCTGGTTCGGATCCCACATATGAGGGCCAGTGACA